CTTGTTGTTTTATGCAGAATGCATGTACACGTCAGTTGGGGTATTAAATTGTTCGCGTAAAAATCTAGTAAAAATTGCCAAAATTAAACCCAAATTTCCCTGTTTTCTTTCGGTAAAATTTTTTTAAATCTTTGCATATTTTTTAATATCGGCACAACAAGTGCAATATCCTTTTTTCTTAAAATTAAATAGAAGGAAAAATTTTTAATATTGATTTTTGACGTTTTTTAAATTTTCTAAGAAACGTATCGATTTAATTTTTTTAAATTGTGGGAAAAAATTATTATACAAGTATTATCTTTTATGCAAAGTTTTAAAAAATTTCACCGAAGGGAACTTTTAAAATGATCTGAAAAAGACAAGTTTTGAGCTTTATTCTAAGCATGCTGTTGCCATGACAACATATTTTTAACACAAAAGTAGCAATTTGCAATGTTCAGGAGAACATTGTCAATGTGTCCAACAAATTTCGTCTTCATGTCAAGTAAAGGAAAGAAACAGGAATCTCCTGAATACTATATTGTAGTAAATTAAAAAAACCCTAGGGAGCCACCTTAACATGTGAAAAAATTTCACATGAAATCACGTGTGAAATTTCACAAATGAAAGGATTTCACATGAAATCTTGCACATGTGACATTTCACATGTGAAAAGATTTCACATGAAATTACATGTGGCATTTCACATGTGAAAGGATTTCCCATGAAATCACTTGTGACATTTCACATGTGAAAAGATTTCATATGAAATTACAAGTGAAATTTCACATGTGAAGGGAGTTCACAAGAAATTATAAATTACAAGTGAAATTTCACACGTGAAAGAATTTTACATGAACGCTACAAATTACAAGTGAGATTTCACATGTGAAAGGATTTCACATGAAATTAAAAATTACAGGTGAAATTTCACATATGTGAAAAGATTTCACATGAAATTACAAGTGAAATTTCACATGTGAAAAGATAAGGATTTCACATGACATTACAAATTACAAAGTGAAATTTCACATGTACATGAAAGGATTTCACATGAAATTACGACTGAAATTTCACATGTGAAAGGTTTTTGCAAGAAATTACAAATTACAATGAAATTTTACATGTGAAAGTATTTCACATGAAATTAATTACAAGCAGTGGCGACGCCAGGCCTCAGAAATGGGGGGAGAGGATTTGGGGGCAAACTCATATTTTTTGGGGGGCAAGATAGAATTGTTAAATAGGTAGTGCTATTTGCCCATGCCGTTGTCATAGGACTTCCCCCCTCAAGGAGATTCGCCCCCCCCACCATAGGAATATCGCCCACCCCCTTTAGGATATTCGCCCCCCATATATGCGATGTGGTTTATTCAATTTTCGTGATACGTTCATCTTATTAGTGCCATACACGTTTTAGAATTTAACTCTGCAAAACTAAAGCTTTTTTGTCTTTTTTGAAACGTATTATTGGAGTATTGGCAAGTTTTACCATTCAAAGATTTACAAACTAATATTGAAACTGTAAAAGCACAGTATCATACGCGCATTCACTAATGACTAATGAGTAATGAGAACTTATAAACCATAAATTTTCCGATAACGACAACACGCTTGTGTAGCCTTTAGTCGCTCTCAGTGTCTAATAAGTTTTTTTGAGGGGGGGGGGGAATGGGCCGCAACTGATTACAACTGAAATTTCACATGTAATTACAAGATGAATTTCACATGCCGCCACTGATTACAAGTGAAATTTCACATGAAATTACAAGTGAAATTTCACATGAGAAATGACTTTATATATAAAAGTAAAAAAGTGAAATTTCACATGTGAAAGATTTCACATGAAGAAAAAAGTGAAATTTCATATGTGAAAGGAATTCACATAAAGTGAAACGCAACAAGCGAAATTTCATATGTGATTTAAAGGATTTCACACGAACGGTAAAAAGTGAAATTTCACATAAAATCATGCACTGGAAAACAACAAATTCTAGTCTAGAAGTATATTCTTATTTTTTATATTATTTTTCTTATTTTAAGTAATTATTTTTTATCAAGCAATATTTCAAGAAAAAGTCTCGTTTTGAGAACAAGGCAAGAATTGGAATATTCGAGAATTTTTTTTCTTATTTTTCACCCTGCTCGGTTTCCTTTGTTCTTGTCGGGGAATATATTCAATATTCCCCTCT